CATTAGACTTGAACTATCCATCATTCATTGGCTATTTCAACCGGAATAGCAGCGATTCGGATCCTAAAAGGATTCAAGAATTCAAAAGAACAGTGACTAACTTACAAGATGGTACATCAGTATACACAGCAAAGCTCACTCCAATGGGTAAATTTAAAGTTAGTGTTGTACCTAATAAGTTGACTTTCAAAGAAAAGTATGAAAAACAAAGCTATAAGCTAAGAATAGAAGGTCCAATAATTATGGATGATATTGTGGTTGATGGTTCATTGAGCTGGATGGAAACTAGAGGAAAATACATAGTTAAAAGTCCAATTGTTGCAACAAGTATAAGAGTGGATCCTTTGAGAGGACATAACTGATTTAGTGAAATGATCTTTTAACTAATTTGTGCTCTAAATGTGAAATTGTAACACATAATTTATGTGAAATAAACTTATATATTCTTCACATTTGTTTTTGTGCTATCAGTAAAAATGATTAACTTGCAGATTACTTCAGACTCTGAATTACTCTTTTAACTTATCAAACACCTAATTGTTGGTTTTCCTAAAATAATGATAACATTTACAAAAGTATGTATCTTCTCTGTCTCATATTAGTTGACTATTTTCTTTTTCAAAAAGATAATTTTATTAATTTACGCCTTAAAAATTTTACAAATAAATATAAACACTTTTTTAAAAAAATTACAAAAATAATATCATAAAATGAACAACAAATATATAAATTATTTTAATAAGATAACCAAACTTACATAGGACGAAGGAGTAGCTATTATCAATTTGGTGTTTCATAACAAAAAACTAAGGAAAGAGGCTTCGATAATGAGATGAAGTTTTAAATTAAAAAATAATAAAATATAACCATTAATTTTACAATGGTCACTCCTTTAACTATATAAATATTTTATTCATGACCTTTTGAGAAAATAAAACATATTTATAACAATACCTCTCAATAGTGCTGTCGGTCGAATAAAATTAATAAATATAGGCACGCAACACACATTAGATATTGGTGCGTTACCATAAACGGTCAATAAATCAAATAGGAAAGGAATATCATTAAATACCCTATGTATTGATTAAAAATCCTTTTTCAGATGTATTATACAGAGCTGTCAAAATATTTAAAATTACTTAAAAAATCTTAATAAGTAACATTAAATATCATCATAATGTGTTCATCTGAATCCAAGTTTTTCAACACAAAATATATATCTAGATAAAACAATTATATTTTCTACGTGAATTTTAGGCTTCTAGTAAGAATTCATGCATTTTCCAACTGGAATTCAAAGACAGTCTAGTTGAGAATTACCCTGTTAAAATATTTTTGTATCTTGTGCTTAAGAAAATGTTCAGTGATATGGGCCAGCTAAGTTGACAAAATGATAGTGGACAATAATGATCACGAGCTAGATGATATATATAATCATGGTCCAACTATTTTATGATCGTAGGTCGAGGCGAATTTAGGACTAAACGAGGGTGTTTATTCAAACTTTTTTGATAAAAATTATTGTATATATAAGGTTTTTTTTTCAAAATAACATGGTTCGAGTGATTTAGAAGGTTCACGTTTTAAATTTAAATCTCTAATATTTATATTTTTGATTTTTCAGACCCCATGAAAATTTGAAATCCGCTACTTATGTATGGCCCACCGGACCGGAAGATGAGCCAAAAATCCGTGGCCTCCCGTGACTGCATGCTGTAAAATAAGCCCATTTCTTGGATGAAGCTTCCAATGTCTCTAATTGACTAGTGTACTCTTTCTGCCAGCGTCAATTGAGAATCTCAAGATGATGACTCAAATTTCTCTTCTAAAAATTTAACTTTTTTATGTTCAGTTTTGTTGAGGACTCGAGCCTAGTAATGTTGAAGACTCGAGCCTATTTAGTTGGCTCGTGATACATAGATTTCGGATTTTAATTTTATAATTTTTGTAATTGAACAAAATTGTGTTGCTTCAGTAAATAATTTTGACCTGTAGCTTTAAAATTGTGAGTTTGAACCATTAAGAGATTAACAAAGATGAAAGCTTACTTTGAAAGTGAAAATGGATAAAAAAATTGAAATTTTGTGATCTAAAATAAAGCTATAGAATTTCTCGTAGCTAAATAAACCGTATCATTAACGAATAACTATTTATAAGAGTACGGAAGCTAAATAGTCACCAAATATCTTTACCACACTGGCGAAAAGTAAAAAAAAATGCCTTACAAATTAAATTGAAAAGACTATATATTTGGTGACATTCTTTTAATACAATAAAATCAAAAAGTGAAAGTTATTAAATTTTATCGAATCTATATATAAAATACGCCTACATCAGCCTGCCTTAACAGAATGATACAATAGAGTAACTAAGTCATGATTGTAAGTAATTCACAAATTTTTTCCTTAATGTAAGGGAAAATTATAACAATATAATTAGTGGAAGTCATCTGTATTTTGTCTATTTTTGGTTTGATATAGTCCGTGATCCACATCAATATTTTGCGTCTATATACATGATCAGTATAAATATATTGTACTGTTCCAAAGTCCAATTTTCAATGCGTCTTTGGAATCACAAATATGCATTGTGGTCAATAAATTAATAAAAAGTTGTTCCAATAAAAAATTGTTCAATCGATGGTGTATGGTTGTAATAGAAAGATGGTTGCGTTGATAAGATGTAGTGATCATTTAAAATTTATATATTTGAAAAACGATAGTATTAATAATTTTTTAAAAAATTAAATTGACGCAATATAACTTACTTAAAATTATACTAAATGAGGCGTATCTTGTTCGAAGTAATGTTTTTTCCAACATAATTTTTGACAATTACCATTGATTTAAGAGTTTATCATAGTCAACTACTTTAATTTAATTAAACAATTCCTATTCGAGTGCAATTATTTATAAATGCAAGGTACTTTACTTATTGTTATATAAAAATTAAAGTACTAACCTTCCAAATGAACATCTATTGCAAATTAATCGACTGACTCATCATAATTTGCTCAAAATTGTTAATGTGACCTTTCTGAGAGCACGTGTGGATTAATTTTTGGCTTATGATTTATAAGTCAAAAGTTATAAGTTTGGATTTTTAACTTATGACTATTTTTGTTATTTTGATTTTAAAATAAGTTGTTATAAGCATTTTTTAGTTTTATTCAAACACTTCAAAACAATTTAATAAATATTTATTTTGACTTAAAAACACCTAAAATAAGTCAATTCAATCGGACACTAAGCCCAAGCAAAAAAGCCGCATTTAATAGATGGGCTTTCTTTTCGGTTCTTAGGAGACGGCCCAACAATACTGGATAGGCATAAAAGCCCGTTCGATTGGAAGATAAAATGGAGGAACAACACAAATTATTTTCCTTCGAGCGAGTTTTTAATATTACAAATTCTATTAGAATTTAGACTTCGAATACATGTATGTAACATATTTAGATAATATATTGGATACATAGGTTAAAGTTGAGTGTAATTTGTTTCAGATACATAATATCCAAATGGATTCACATATATATAACTCTCTCGCTCAGTTCCCTCCTTATTATTTGTATTTTTAAATGTATCTAGGATTATCTAGTGTTTTTTGCATATATCTAAATTGCACGGACAATCTCACTCATCACTTTTCCTATTTAAGTGTATACGATAGCAAAAATACATGTATATATTTATATCTGACTTAAAATTTATCATAAAATTATTTGAAAACTAAAAAAATAATTAGTAAATATGATAAAGCTAATTTTTCCAAGATAAAATATAGTCTTGTACGTCTAGGGACCTAAATCCATTACTAGTGTCCCTTTTGTTGATATTCCGGCAAACAAAGGCCTAAAACAGACTAAGGACCATTTGGCGTAGTTGCTTCATCCTTCGACAACAAATAAGAAAAAATCTAACTCATTCGCGTATATATACAGTAACAAAATTTTACGTTTGAATTCCTATCTAAATTTGGGATGCGAAATTTTGAATAAAAAATTTATCCTTTACATAATTCCACATTCTTCTTACTCTTTCTTTTTTATTTATTTTATTTCAAATATAATATTCGATATCTATTTAAAATTCGATTAAAAACTAACAACCTCATAAATTTCACAACATCCTTTGGTGGTATTCAATGAAGTATATGACCAGAAGCATCTTGGGTTGCCTCAAGACAAAGAGAGAAAAAAAGCTAGTACAATGCATCATTCCACATGCTTTATTTTTTATTACTGAAAAAGAAAAAAAAAAGGGAAATAAATGGTTTTCTTTTTTCTCAATTCACATGGTATGAATTTTTAAATGTGGATCCCACTCACCCAACCCACCATTTTCCTTTACTTTTTCCAAAATATACACATTATTTCACAATCAAACACAAATTATATCAACAAAATCCTCCTTGACCCTCAGGTTTCATTTTACATTTAACTAAAACACAACAAAAAGAAGAAAAAAAAAGTAAATATTTGGGCTTATAAAACTCAGTTTAATTTTGATATTAACTTTCAAAAAAAAGTGAAATCTATCCTATTTTTAGATGGCATAATGCATATATTATATTCTAAATTTGCCTTTAAATTTTAACTTTGATCTTCAACTTTTATAATGAACAAACAGACGCTTTAACTATCTAACTTTTAAATAAATAACACATGAGTTCTATATGGCAAAATGATACGTAGGACAAAAAATGATACGTAGGATGACATATAGGACATGTGTATCTATTTATTTAATTTTATACAAATTTAAGTGTATATTTGTATATATTTTAAATTAAAGGACATAATATAATTTAAAATTAAATTAAATGAGATATTTATATATTACGTTCGGATGAAAGGAGTAACATTGAATACGCGTTGTACTACTATAGTTGCCAACTCTGTGGCAGCTGTATTTTGATTAATGAGACTAAAAATCTTTTATCTATAATAAAATGTATAATGTTAGTTAGACCTCTTATTATTATTTGGTTTTCCACTTATGTTCGGTCGGTGGATAATTAAAATTATAATAAACCAAAACTATGTACTTTGCATTTTACATATTAAATTGTAGAAACTGAGTTACCAAATTTCAGTGTCTTACACTTCAACCATTCTTCTTTCTTGGCCAAAATGCATACAAAAACTGATTCAGAAGATACGAGCTTGGCTCCTTCGTCGCCGGACAATAGAGGGCCGACGGCGTATTACGTTCAGAGTCCGTCACGTGATTCTCACGATGGCGAGAAGACAACGACGTCGTTTCACTCTACTCCTGTTATCAGTCCCATGGGTTCTCCTCCTCACTCTCACTCATCCGTCGGCCGTCACTCCCGTGATTCCTCTTCCTCCAGATTCTCCGGCTCCCTCAAGCCTGGATCTCAGAAGATTTTACCCGACGCCGCCGGAGGCGTCGGCGGCCGTCACCACCGCAAAGGGCAGAAGCCCTGGAAGGAATGTGATGTTATTGAGGAAGAAGGACTACTTGAAGATGATAGATCCAGTAAATCTCTTCCACGTCGTTGCTATGTCCTTGCTTTTGTTGTTGGTTTCTTCGTCCTTTTCTCCTTCTTTGCTCTCATCCTTTGGGGTGCTAGTCGACCTCAGAAACCCAAAATCACCATGAGGGTAAGTCGTTTTCTATCATTTTGATTCTACAAATTGGACGATTTGATGGGAGATCTGAAATGGGTACTTTTTGTATTTTGATTTTCAGACCATAAAATTTGATCATTTTGGGATTCAAGCTGGTTCTGATGCCACAGGAGTAGCAACTGATATGATCTCCATGAATGCTACTGTGAAATTCCTTTACCGTAATACTGCATCATTTTTCGGTGTACATGTCACATCAACCCCTCTTGATCTCTCATTTTCAGAACTCACAATTGGATCCGGAGCTGTTAGCATTTTAACTAACTTTTATCCTAAATCTATAGCTCGATTATCATATTGTTCATTTTGTTACAGTTTCTGTTCTCTGACAATCTATGATAAACAATCTCTCTACACTGGGCAGGGGCGGAGTTAAAATTAGACTGTTTATACATAGTTAAAGTTTATATATATATATATAATTGTTGCTAGAACACCTTTGATGGATGGTTAAATATTTTCAATTTTTATTGATATGTGAATTGGATTTTGATGAAACAGATGAAGAAATTTTACCAATCAAGAAAGAGCCAAAGAGTTGTAGCTGTATCAGTTATAGGGAACAAGATTCCATTATATGGAGGTGGAGCAAGTTTGAGCACACCAGCAGGGGCGACGCCATTACCAGTGCCACTAAAATTAAACTTCAAGCTTCGATCAAGAGCTTATGTCCTAGGGAAAATGGTAAAGCCCAAGTTCTACAAGACAATTGATTGTCTACTTACTCTTCGTCCCCAGAAGATGAACGCCGCAATTTCACTAAAGAATTGTACCTACAGTTGATTATGGAGCTATCTAAGTTGGTAAAGTTTTGATCTTTTTTCTCAAATCTTGATTGTCAACAAAGTGAATTGATAGCTATTGGGGTCTCTATCTTTTGCCCCCACTACTTACCAACTTTCTCTCTGGAGTAGAATGTGGACAGCCTGTGTTACATGTTACAACAAATTTTCCAACTAGCCGCTACTGGAAAATGGACAGAACAAGAATGTGACAATTATTCATTTCTCATGTTAATTCACCTTGTTATTATATAATAATCTATACCACAATATATAGATTGATTTGTTTATTTGTTTTGGAAGTTGAATAGTACTTTTTTTTCTTTATTTTATTAGAAGTTGTTAATGAATAATGGTCTCTTGAGTTTCCACCGCTAAGAGTTTTTTGTTTTTTTTTAAATTCAATGGAGGAGAAGGGAATCGAATCCTCAAAACCAACTAAACTATTAAGATTTTACTATATTGGAATAAAAGTTCAATTTTGTAGCCTTAATTTAGTAGTGACAACTGTATTGACATTCAATAGCTCACTTTTTTAATAAACACAACACTTACAAGGCCAAAAAATCTTCAAGATGCAGGTATTATCATTAATTTATGATGCTTTGTATATTCAAATCAATTATGTAGCCACAATTTTGATAATGATAGAAGTATTGACATTCAATAGTTCACTTCTTTAATAATGACAACACTTTAAAAAAGGCCATAAAATCTACAAAATGCAGATATTATCATTTATTTATGATATATACTTTGTGTATGTCCTGTTGTCTCTTTCTTTAAGAAGATTTTGCAAGAAATGAGACATAGTAGGAGTTGTTATGTCTGTACATAACTTCATAAAAATTTCGAAGGGTCACATGGAAAATGAAGTCCACTGTCGATAATGGATGAAGTTCCTCCGTTACATATTAGTTGTCACATTTCTCTTTTACATGTCTATGAAAGGCAAGTAAAAAAGGAAAAAGTCACACATATTTTACAAGGCGGAAAAAGCCCCCTAAATCAAGGGCTTTTGTTTAGCTTCAATAGAAAATGACATGTGCTTTGATAGTTCAGGCAATCAAGGAAACCAAATAGCTTTGGACTTTGGCTGTTGACTTCCATTTCCAATCAAGGAGAGCAGTTGGAAAAATACATAAGTTCAAAGATAATCATTTGAATTGGTCTAAAATATCTTAAGCATCTAAATTTTGCTGGTGATGGGATAGTGTAAACGAAAAATATTATCTCAAGAATATTTATATGTTATCTATTGTATTAAAATACTGTGGAGGGAAATGTATTGGGATGGTTGAGGTAAACATGCGGGGAAGAGATAATAAAATTGCAATATCATTTATGTAGCTTGTTTCCCTTATTTTGATTAAGAAAGTGTTTTTTATTTTTTTTTATTTTTAAGAAACTTGTTTTCCTAGAAAAAATATTTTGACCAATTAAATATGTGAAAAATTAAAAAACATTATGGAAAAATATTTTCCGATAATACTTAATACACAAATTACTTCAAGAGCGATATCGTGAAATTTAGAATTGTGAAGCTCAATCTTTGGATAATATCCTTAATTTCATTTGCTTTTAAACGAACTGTTTTGAAGTTTAAAGTACTTTAGAGTCAAGTTTGAAATAAACCATTATATAGGTGTTTTCTCTTTCTCGTGAATAATGGAAGATATAAAATAATTAAATTAATAAAAGTATCATATTAGTATGATTTTTTTTCTCGATCTTCTCATAGGCACAATATTTAAATCAATAGAGAATTTTTTCTTCAATATGAGTCGATATTATCCATTTCAAATACTTCCCTGTAGCTTCTTAAGGCAAATTTCATATTTGAATCATAAATTGACGGATTAATGTGTTCTTATCAGCTGCTACAGTATAACAATATTGACTAATTATTCTTAAATTTACAACAACACCAATCTAATATAGTTCCATAGTATTCCTATAATTAGTGTTAGTGTTGCTGGAACTTAATCAACCCAAATTAAATTTAAAACAAGCATAATCGTCATTCAAAAACGTTTTGAACTTAACATGGAAACGTTAAAACAATTGAGGTTAAATTTACACTCCATGATTAGCGAAATTCAAAAGAGACTTATTCACATAGAGTGTTTAAGTCAAATTAATTCGAAACTCTAAATGAGCTACATGCATTATGTGGTTCTAAAACTAATAACTAGTGCACTTTACCCTATATTTCATTTTTGGTGTCTTCGCTCAAATAACCAAACAAATTTACTACTTACTTTTTTCTAGTTGTTACATAGATTATACATTAATTATACACAATTAAACATATACAATATACATGGATCATATATATATTTTACCTGTTTCAATTTGTTTGTCCTGTTTTTTTTTTTGATAGTCCATTTCTTTTTAAATTTATTTTTTTGACAATTCTTTTATTGTAATTTATCACATAATATGTTTAAGACTACTATATCAAAGAACGTTTTGATATATTCATAATTCAATGTATCTTTAATTTTTAAACATAAAATTTAAATGTCTTAAATTCCATATCAAATGAATAAATGAACAAACAACTTAAAAAGGTGAGCATTATACATCACATCAACTATTTTTAGTCTGGTCAATTAAATAGACTTTCATCTATGTATCTATAAATTTCCTATATAGCAATGTATAAAATGTAATTTTTTTAAAAAGGTTAAAAATAAAATATAATTAACTTATAACGTTATGTGATTTACGGGCCTTTCGGATCAGTTATTGCAGGCCCAGGCAATCAGGACTAGCCCAATTTACTACCCGGATCCACATAAACTCCTCCATTGCACCCAGTTTGACTATTCCTTAAATTACAGGGACGAAATTGCAAATATAGGAGAATCTTTTTTTTTCTTCTCGAACCTCATTCACATTCTCACAGTATTGAATATTGAAAATTGAAAACAACACCACCCAATTTTTCTCTCTCTTCTTCTTTTCCCCCCTTTCACTTTCTCTCTCTAAAAACCTAGCTATGGCGCTTCCTCATCACCATCTCCAACTACACATTCAACAACAACCACATCAACAACAGCAACAGTCCAAATCTTACAGGTATAATTTGTAGGAATTTCATGAAAATTTCCCCTTTTTTGGTTAAAAATCCAATCTTTTCTTTGCTGTTCTAATGATGTTTATGTTTTTCAGAGATTTGTACAACAATATGGATGGTCAGATAACAAACCCAGTTGTTTATTTCAATGGCTCTAATCTTCCTGAACAGTCTCAACACCCTCCTTATATACCTCCCTGTATTTCTTTGCTTCCTAAATTTACCTTTTTTTTCCTTCAACTAACTTTATGGGGTTCCTCTTTTTTATCTTAATTGTTTATTTTTTCATGTTTCTCACTTAATTGTGCAGTTCAAGTTGTGGGGTTGGCTCCTGGTACAGCTGATGATGGAGGGTTGGATTTGCAGTGGAATTATGGGTTGGAGCCTAAGAAGAAGAGGCCTAAAGAGCAAGATTTTATGGAGAATAACAACTCTCAAATATCTTCTGTTGATCTGTTGCAGCGGCGATCGGTGTCCACTGGCTTGGGGTTGTCTTTGGATAATGGACGTTTGGCTTCGTCGTGTGACTCAGCGTTTCTAGGGCTCGTGGGTGATGATATTGAGCGAGAATTGCAGAGGCAAGATGCTGAGATTGATAGATATATCAAAGTTCAGGTTTTTATCTCATCAATTGATTAATTAATAGCTAATTGAATTAGTTAGGGTTGAATGTACAATATTGATGTATCCATTATCAAAAAGTAAGTTCTTTTGATTGTGTTAGTGTGTGTGTGTGTGCGAGAGAGAGAGAGAGAGAGCGCTTTGAGCCTAATCCTCGGCTCAAGGTAGGTAGGCTGTTTTAGCTTCAAAAAGTAAGTTTAGGATAGTATGTTTTGCTTTGCTGAAAGTTTCAGCTATCATACATATTTGCTTTGGTCCTTGCTGAAGTTTCTCTTTTAAACCTTGAGGTTAAACTAGGCTAGTTGTGAGGAATTCCTGAAACAAGTCTAAGACAAGGATATTACTGATGAATTTACAGCGTAATTGTTATCCATTCAGATGAACTTCCAATCTGGACTAGCCCTAGGGGACAGAGTTAGTTGGTACTTGTTGATGTTGTTGGTAGGAGGTGGAAGGTATTCTGTGGAGTTAGTCCAGGTGCGCAATTGTTGGTCTGGACTCCACGAATATCAACAAAAATAACGTTTACCATGTCTGAGCTTGCAGGCATGGAACTTAATGAGAATTAGCTTCTTTGAGAGAGAAAATTTGAGTTTGTCTGGTATGCTCATTTTAGGTTAAGAAATTGTGAATTATTTATTATAAAAATGGAAGTCCTTATATCTAATCTTGTTGTTTTGGATATTGGCATCTTAAACTCCTGCTTTAGATATTCTAAATACTAGTCGAAATCTCTTAGGCTAGAATCTAATCGTATACTTGACTTAGTGTCATTTCTATAATAGTTACGAGTGTTAATAATAGCTTCATTATATATGTTCTGCCTAAAACTCTTTATGTTCTATTTCTTATCAAAAGGGTGATCGCTTAAGGCAAGCTGTATTGGAGAAGGTTCAAGCTAATCAGATTCAGGCTATCACCTATGTTGAAGAGAAGGTCCTTCAGAAACTTCGAGAAAGAGACACAGAGGTTGATGATATCAACAAGAAAAACATGGAACTTGAGTTGCGGATGGAACAATTGGCTTTGGAAGCCAATGCTTGGCAACAGCGTGCCAAATACAATGAGAACTTGATTAACACACTTAAGGTAAATCTACAACATGTTTATGCACAGAGCAGAGATAGTAAAGAAGGTTGTGGTGACAGTGAGGTAGATGACACAGCATCATGCTGTAATGGACGGGCTACAGATCTCCACCTGCTTTGCCGGGATAGCAAGGAAATGAAGGAGTTGATGACGTGTAGGGTCTGTAGAACCAATGAAGTTTGCATGCTATTGTTACCATGTAAGCATCTCTGCCTGTGTAAAGAGTGTGAGAGTAAGCTTAGTCTTTGTCCCTTGTGTCAGTCCACTAAGTATATAGGTATGGAAGTTTACATGTAGTTGGATATTGTGTATCTAATGTACATGTCTTGGCCAACGTTTATGGTATCTGTCCTGGTCAACTGACTTCTTGTATAAACTTTTACCCCACCTAAATATTTCGGAAAACTCACGTAGAAATTCTTGGCAGTCTAATTGTCATTTAGGGTTCTTCCTTGGATGGAATGACAATTATTGTCTTGTCTGATATTATATTTCCTTCAGGACCAGTATGTACTGATGTTTATATCATGGTAACAATTGTGTAATGACATATATTCTCTATAAGCAACATCGTGTAATGTAATACTCTCTATAAGCAACATTGTCTACATTGTAGTATCTAGTTGCTGATTAGTTTGCCATTCTGATATATAGCAAACAACTTCCAGGCCAAAGATTATGCAGGAC